CCATAGAATGTGATTTCATATTTGTGTATGTATTCAAGAAACTATATCTTATGCAAAGCAGGTTATTGTATACATCTGTCTTTATTATACTAGTATTATGGTCCGTGCATCTGCAAAGTAATATTATATTTAATATTGGTTCATGTAGTAGTTATATTAAAAATCTTAAAACAACCATTACATACCAATATAAAAATGTATAAGTAAATCTTTCTTAACAAAGTACATTATGGATAAAAAGAACAGAGGCATGTAAGCTAAGTCGAAGTTCATAATGACACAACATTCGTTTTCTTGTAATTGCTTTTCAAATTTAGAGAGTAAATTATTTTAAACAGAATCTTGTATTCTATCACTCTATTTAATAAAATAAATTGAAGACAATAGTTAAGAACTTCTTGCAGGAAATTTTTAGAATGGATTGTTAGTTTTGAAGCTACATTAACAGATGAAATTAGCCAGATTTAAAAAAAAAAAAGTTTTACCTTCTCATCCACAAGAAGAAGATCGATTCCTCTTAATCCATTTGATCTATCTTTTCTTAGAAATTCCCAAATAGGGCAATGTGAACTTTGACTTTACATACTTCACTCGCCAAAGTAAGTTGTGAAAATCAAACGACATGTTGAATGGAATACGATACTCAACATATTTGTGTATGTATTCAAGAAACTATGTCTTATGCAAAGCAGGTTATTGTATAATATATCTTTATTATATATGTATGGTTTTGTTTAAAACACCGCTTCTATCGATTTCTCAAGAGTTGCTTTAAAGAATTTATACCTTGTTTTCCCCATAGCGTGTGAACATTCCGCAATAAGTTTCTACAAGCAATTTTTATTATAACTATTTATTTAACTTTACTAGATCATTAGAGAAATAGCAACATATTAAGACTAAGAAGACTCTTTTCGAACAAAGACGGGCATTACATTCGGTTTTGAGTATTCTTTGATACGGTTTTTATGATGGCTTCTTACTTCTTAGATCTTATTAAAACACGTACATAAACTACCGAGTACTGTGACCAAAAAAAAAAAAAAAACTACCGAGTACTTAGGGTAGGTGTTTAACTTGATCGAGTGACTCCACCAAAGCGAACACCTTTTTCTAATGAACAGAAGCAAGGAATTTGTTGAGAATTTTATTGTAGACTAATGGTTTCTCCAAGTGCACCAAGTGACCTCCATTCTCTATACTATCCAAGCCAGTCATTTCTCCCAATTTCCTACGATATGAAAATATTCATGGGCAAAAAAAAACATAAAATGAAATAATGGATGTTACATTTATGGAAGAAAATACAAAATTTGATTATAATTAGATGAAGAAACTCACACTCGCAAATCTTTCGCAAATTCAAGATTGAAGAATCGGTCATTTTCACCCCACAAAAGGTGTACTCTCTGCAAACGAAACATATTAAGAAATCTGTTAATATGTAAAATTTAGTTATTTTGATATGATTTTGGTAAATTATGTAATAGTCAGTTAGATATGGGCTTTGATTTCTACAAGTTTTATTTGGGAATTAAAAAAAGGGAGTATTATACACTTTAACGATTAAAAAAATTCAACTCGTTGAGGTAAATTAGTAACAATTATTTTAGGAATACACTAAAAAACTCAACTACTCTATGTAATACTAAAATACCTGAGGAAAACTAGGGAATGTAGTAGTAGTGTCCTTGCTGATGATTAGAGCTTCCATGAGTTCAGCCATTTCTTTCCTGTTTTGGAACATTATCTGCGAATACATAATCACTGGTTATATATATATTTATGTTTTAAGAATGCAAAAATTTAATATATAAAGTAACCAAAATGCACCTTAAGGCCATGATGGGAGCCAAATGCGTTTGTGCAAAGCAGCAGAGAAAAGAAACTGAAGTCCCTTGGCCGTTTTGGGTAACAAGAGATCCGACATTGAATTAAACCCAAACCGGTTCACATTCGAATCGGTCATAACCGGAGTCGAACCGGATACCACTACAGCCTTAACTATTCCCATGCAACTAGGCAATTTTGTTTTTTTGCTAAGTATGTGAATTTCATTAAAAATGAGAAGAGTTGCAAAATACTACAAAAGGTTAAACAAATAGGAAAATCCTTTGGCAAAAAAGACTTAAAAAACAAGGAGAGTCCTAGAACTGAACTACAAATGGGATGAGCTTTTACTCGTGGGTGAACCAAATTTGCATTAGGTCACCGAATGATTTCTTTGATCGTTTGGCTAATATTGTGTCTCGGATTAATCGGTCAACTCGGCAATCTTGAACGCCACAACGCCACCGTACCTAAAACCAACAGGGACCGGTGACCGGTGATAAGTTTACATACCACCACAAACTTATCCACACCTAGGATACGCATAGCCTTAACCAAACACTCGGCTTGGAACTCCGGTGACCGGTCCGGTTTATCGGTGTAGGACTCACCAAAGAAGAGCAAATCCGGTATGTAAACAGAGTATTTCTTTGATAAGGAACGAACCTGAAATGCCCACGTCAACACATCTCCAGCAAAACCATGAATGAGTAACACAGCCGGTTTATCTTCGGTTTTCTTCGGTAACCAGAAATGAATTTTGGTTCCTGGTTCGATTTCTACAGTGTACGGAACAATACCGGCTGATTTGACGATAATGCGCATAGACGATCTTAGTGCGACCACCAAGTTCACCATTTTTTGGTTAAGCTATAAAATTTCTCTCTTTCTCTCTTCTTCTTCTCTTAGATTTGTATTGTTGAGTTTGTTTACACCATTTTTTAAAGAGAGAATGTGCCCAATTTAGTTTTCACGAAATGATTGATGGATATATTATATACTAGAATATAATATAGTGACGAAAAGTGTAATTAATCTAGTAATTTTGTATTTATAATTGGCAAATCAAACAATTTTTTTAGATATAACATAATAT